GATGGAAGCGACGTAGCCCGATACTGGGCCGAACTTATATGAATAAAGTAAAGTAAGATTGAGGGAGAGGTAAATCATACTGGCAGTAAAGACTCAGGAAGAGTTGTGAAGCTACAAAGAGAATCACTTGCAAAGATAATTTTCTAGTAATATTTTGTTGGAAACTACCTAATCGGCCCGTATAAGTATTTTTTGGAACGTCTTATTTTGAAACAGAAAATCTTCAGTTATTCTACGTCCCATTATTAATGGATTAACCTACATAATAATAATCCTTTATTACATTAGTTATATTATTTGTTTTAGTTATTAACTTTATTAATTATATTGCATTCTTCTTCTTTAATTCCAATACAAATAGAGGCAGTTGCTGAAATTAAATTTGCTACACAGTCACATAAATTTTTAGATACGTTAATACAACAGGTGACAAAAAATCTTTTATTTACTACATTGTTTCGCCTCTAATTTAATAATAATTTATAACTCTCAAATGCGTTGGATAAGTATCAATAGCTACTCGTGATTTATCCCTAGCATTGACTTGCTTACTTTTAGGTGCCAATACTGACCAATTTAAATAAAATACTAGTCTGACGCCCACTGTTTGTATATTAATAAGAACATATAAATATACCTGCATTTTACGTACGCAAAAATTGTACTATGATAGTATTTTCTATTTAAAGATTAGTTCCCAGATACCAAAGCAAAAACACTTCATAAATATAAAAAGAGGTGTTTATTAAATATAGACTAAATTATAAATACAATAACGGGGCCAATGTTCTATATTTTCAAAGGTTTTAAACAATTTATAATAATTTTGTATTGATAAAACAATATTTTCAAGTGATATTAAACATTTCTGCTACTTTTCTTATGAATAGAAATTCCACTTCTATTACTTCTAGTCTTATTCTTGCTCGATTAAAACCAATAGGATCTTAAAACGATGGGAATACTTTTTTTTTTCAAATAGTTTGGTGGATCTATGAATGTTACCAAACCGTGATATTGTTTTTTATTATATATATTATAATGTAGAGAATTAATCGTTTGTTTCAATAATTCTTTACTAAGAAAGTTTTATTAGTTTTGGTTGATGTCCATTTTTTATTGAATGCTTATTATGTTATCATGTTGTTGCTTATAATGTCAAATAGTGTCAAGCAGTCAATAAAGTACTAACAAAAAAATATAGGTCGACTAATTATGAAATCTACGGAAATAAGGCAAAAGAGAAAATGACTTGATGACAAAATGAAATGATAATAATCAGTTTAGAACAAAAAAATGTAAGAGAATTATAAATAAATATACTAAATGGAAAGCCGGAAATAAATAATTTAATAATAACGAAGAACATCGTATACCTACCAATTCCAGAATTAGAGAAATCTTCCATATTGGTTTGATGAAGTGATAGAACAAGAAATAGAGCGGAAAAGAGACCAATATTAAAAATTCTTAGATACAAAAATGACACTGATAAAATAATCTATAAGGAGACGAAGTCTGAACTGGAACTGCGAAAATGATACGTTGGCAGAAAAATGAAGCATTATAACAAAAGTGTAACATGCTATGCTAAATTTGCATCTAAGCGGACGAAGAAGCACGGAAAGTTGGAGAGTCTTAAAAACAAGATAAAAAGAGATATATAGTATTAACAATGGTTAATCGGAATCAATATTTTAAGAAACTACTAAAGGAAAATAGATCACAATTTAAAGACAACAACGAAACGAAGTGGAGATCTTCCACGAAGAAGTGGAAGATGTAATTATGTAGATCATTGAACAATAACAAAGCACGGGTTCAGGTACCATCCTTGCAGAGTCAATAAAATACGGCACAACTAAACTACAGTAAAATCTCATAATCCGGCACTATTAAACACCACAGGGTGTCGGATTATTGGAATGTTCGGATTAGTGGATTGTATAGAAAAATTCATAAATAAAATAAAGCATTTCATAACGGAAATAGTTATGTATTTATTTATTAATATTTATTTATATTTAGATATTTTATAAGTTCGAATATTTTACTTTATATATTTTTAGTTAGATTACTTTGTAGGTAGGTACTAATGCAACTTGAATAAAAGATTTTAAAATTGGAATTTTCATTTAAAATACCTGATTCCCTATATAAATGTTATAAGCATTAAATTTTAAGTTAGGTCCAAACGAGGTTCTCAATACATTTTGGATCAAAACGGACACTACATCACTTGATCAACGACCCATTTTTGTTCCAAAAGCGGACACCTGTATTTTCAAATAATACTTTTATAATAATTTCATATATTTCTAATATCAGAATGTCCACAAGATTACTTTTGAAGCCTTTACTAAAATTATAGGAAGTGAGATTTTTATAAAAAGAATAATAACAGCTGTGTACAAAAAAAACGAATTTATTTCAATTTTTCTTGCATGACACATGTCCGTTTTTGATATGAAGCCACTCAATTATAATATATTGTAGTTGTCTTGATAAAGAAACTAAACAGTCTCGGAAGCTCGACTTTTAATAAAAGAGAAGTCATTTATTAAAATCACTTGCGAATCTTTGGAAGTTTTACTTTACTAGGCGGTCACAAACAACTTTAGTCACATTGACTAAAGGTTAAAGTAGGTTCAATCGACAAGTTGTGCCCAAAACTCAAATTATTTAAATATAAAGAAGAAGCTATATTGTAATGTTTCTAAGCATAATACTAAAGTGTATTAAACATTTTTTAATACTAGTATTTCACCCATGGACGTATAAACCCATTTCACCTATTGATTGACAGCAGCGCGACTCCAGCGTTTGGATAAACTTTGTTAATGTGTCGGTATCGCGGCCCCTGCGTAATTCATATAATCCATTTTATGGGTCTAATATTCCGCTGGCATAAATGGAGATTAACATATTATTGTGGGTGACAGTTAAAAGGTAAATTGTAAGGCTAGTCCGACAGCATGGTACATTTCTGTATGCATGGAAGGGTGGATAGTTGAAAATGATTCTATCTTATGTAAAATTAATGTAAAATACATTAAAAATAGATCAAGAAAACGAAAGTTTAGTCTAACTTTTAGTCATCGAGCAAAAAGACAAAAGAGGGAATCTAATCGTTATGAAAAGAAGACCAAAAAAGTGGCCTCTGATGGCGGACATATCCGGAAATGCGAATGCGCCAAATTTAAATTTTTCGACACTTATTAACAGTAGCTATAGAATAGTTTTTTGGGAGGAACAGAAGGGAAAAAAGAAGACTTTAGTGTGAGGTCTGTAAGTGGTAAAAGCTATAGTTTTAAAAGGGTGGACAAATGTGAATACCTGGGTGTAGTTTTCGATGAAAATGGAAAAGAGGAATGGGAACTGGAAGCCAGAATAGCAAAAGGGAATAAAAAATTAGGTAGTTTAAGAGCCCTACTGAACTCAAAATACGTTTCTAGACAAGGTAAACTCAGAATATATAAAACAGTAATTCGACCCACAGTAACATACGCCGGTGAGACATGGATATTAAATAAGAAGGAAGAGGATACTCTGGAAAGATGGGAAAGGAAAATACTGAGACGCATATTCGGAGGACGGAAGACAGAAGATGGTTGGGAGAGAAGAACCAACAATGAATTAATGGCTTTATACAAAGAACCTACCATTACCAAGTTCGTCAAGTCACAAAGAATCAGATGGTTGGGACATGTGGAAAGAATGGAAGCAAACAGAATGCCAAACTAGTAATAACCAGAAAACTAATCGGCCCCAAAAGAAGAGGTAGACCCAGAACGAGGTGGATTAATAAAGTGGAGGAAGACCTTAAACACGTGAAGGTGAGGGACTGGAAAAGAAAAGCACAAAATAGAAGCGAATGGAGAAATATTGTCCACCAGGTCCTTCAGAGTAGTTAAGAATGTTGTATATACATATTTAAGTTAAAGTTTTGTTTAAAATAATTGTAATTAGTTAATATTAGGATTATGTTTACAAAAATTGCCCTAGGCCTTAACGGCCTGTTGTGCGTAAAAATGAATAAATAGAATAGTTTTCAGAATGTGTCTTAGACGAGAAACTTTAAATAAATATAAACGATAACAGTGTAAAATGTGACATAATTGTCAATAAACTTCAATATAAATAAGATTTCATGTGACAGTTGGGACAAACCATGGACAAACAATAACATAACCCAACTAAATTTGATTTCTTAAACAAGGAAAGACTCTCTTTCCTTGTTTAATGTGGCCTCTCAAGATGGTACTTCCTGTCTAACAATATTTTTGCCCCCACTACCTTTACATTCCCTCTTTTGTCTTTTTGCTCGATGCTTTTAGTACTCATAACTTTTTACATGGATCATTTTTTTCTACAAGCTACACACAAATAGAAAGTTTGAACCTATTTCTTCTTCAAAAAACTTTCTTTTTCATTTAGTTAACAAGCAATAAACAAATACCTTTTCGCCTTTGCAGAATCATAAGCAAACAGCGGACGAGTACGTGTTATTTACGTTATACGTGCATTATACGTGTTAAATAGTAGCTATTTTAAAATTTCAATAACTGCTCGACGCAGGTGAATGTCAACAACACGTACTCGTCCACTGTGTGCTTGTGGTACTGCAAGGGCGAAAGCTATTTGTTTATTGCTTGTAACTAACTTGAAAAAATGTCACTTCCATTTTTTTCAATAGCAAATTGTCGAAATAGGTTCAAACTTTCTATTTATGTGCAGCTTTTAGAGAAAAATGCACCATGGAAAAAATTATGAGGACTAAAAGTTACACTAAACCTTCGATTTGTCGACTTAAAAATTTTAATAACTTTTAAATTATAAACTTTTTATATATAATAAATATAGTATTTTATTGTATTTATAGCCATGCTTTACAACACATACCAACTGGTTGCCTTGGTTTAGTCCTTGGTGTCCTAAAAGACGTCTTGTTATCCCCTTTAGCAGATGATACTTTAAAGCTTCTATGATAAAATCTTTACACTGCAGATCTGTTTTTAGCAATGGTTCCTCTTCTACTCTCTGAACTAAGTATTCTTGAGACATAAGCGGTAACCTTACATATTCCATAAGTGATGAAAGATGCTTTCTTCTATTGTCTAAATCGTTTTGTACCCAAGCTACTACACATTCGAAAACTTTTTCTTCAGAAGGTACTGTCAGTCTATCACTACTTATTAGTTTGGATACTTGAAGATGCGAGAGTGTTAAAAATTCTTCACACTCTACAACCTGTAAAAAACAAAACAATATGCAAATAAAAACAATCTTCAAATGGTATTTTATACTAGAAAATTAGTAAAAAATCATTATTATTAAAACTTTTTATAAAATTTATGGATATTTCTTATTTATAATATATGAAGGGTACAGGGGAAAAAGGAGGAATATCAGAAATTTTAATTTTTTGTTTTAATAATTCATTGTACAGGTATATTCTGTACTTCACTGTACCATTGATTATAAACCACCACCTGGATACCTCACTCTAAGATTTTTGAGTTCCCTAGTCCCCTGATGGAATTCAGCATTTTCACACATAATTTTAACGTGCTTGTAATATACATTATGAAATTCCGATTTTACTTAAAAAAAAAAGCTAAAAATTGATTAATGAAAACAGTAAAGGTTTTCTAAAAATTATTTATCTATCAATAAAATACAAAAAAATAACAAAACATAAAATACATAATAAAATTGGCAGTGATAAATTACATCTCACGTAAATTACTTTTTTGTAACTTTTCAAAAAAATTAATTTTCAGAATTGATGCAAACTAAAATATTTCAAGCTAATATACAGAATTTATTTCCAGATTTAGTGCATTCACTTACGGTAAAATATTGCAAAACCTCCTAATTTTAAAGAATCGCTTGGATTGATATGAAATTTGGCTTAGCTAAGATTTGGCCTAGCTAAGATGTCAAAGAAAAAAGGTCTTTCGCCCTATGGCTCAGTATCACCCCTTCTCGGGAGTGAAAAAATATATGTTGAAGATAAGTTCGGAATGTTGAATATTTCAACGTGAAATAAAAAAAAAAGCACTTTTCGACGAAATTTCATTACAACTTTTTTTAAAGTGTTTAAAAAAGGTTTATTTTTGTTAAGTTTCTAGCATCAAAAGTAAGCAAGCTATGACCAAAATATTCAGAAAAGCAAAACCTACATTTTTTTACTCTTTGTGATTTTTAGTGTCACTAATAAATTTTAAGTTATTTTACAAAAAACCATTTTTTTCAAAATTAAAACAAATGTTAAAAAATAAGCCCTTTAAACAAATGAAACTTACAGATTATTATAATAATACAATAAAAACAATGACCAAGGTATTTATTAGAGAAATCAGGACACGCGTTGAAATTGCAAGACAAACATTTATAAAAATGAAAAAAATATTTGTTAATCGCGATCTTAACTAGTTTTGATGGAAATTAAGCCACAATTTTCCTAAAAAAATGATTTTATTAACGTTTCGACGCCCAAATCGGGTGTCGTTGTCAAAATACAAAAATTATTAATGAATTAAACAAAAATGTTATTGCTTAGTAAAAAAATTCTTCTAATAATTTATTTAATCTTACTTATTTATATTGGCAATTCAGACATATATTATACATTTTAAAGTAAAAGACTTTAAAATGATATTGCCAATATTTATGAGTTGCGTTCCTGGGACTATATTTATATTCTAGCGCGAGAATTTTACTGTCCCCATTCCATGTGGTTGTCTTTTTAAAGACAGATTACATGTTATGATTTTTTTGTGACGGATATTCTTGAGTTGGAGTTTTCATCCCATTTTTTCATGTAATCGAATTAACTATCTTTCAATAAAGTCGTCCCAGGAACGCAACTCATAAATATTGGCAATATCATTTTAAAGTCTTCTACTTTAAAATGTATAATATATGTCTGAATTGCCGATATAAATAAGTCAGATTAAATAAATTATTAGAAGAATTTTTTCACTAAGCAACAACATTTTTGTTTAATTCATTAATAATTTTTGTATTTTGAAAACGACACCCGATTTGGGCGTGAAACGTTGTCGAAAATTGTAGCTTATTTCCTATCAAAACTAGTTAATTGCAATAACGCCACAAGAAAATAGCTTCAGAACAAAATCTAGATCTTCCTCTGGAGCTGAGGATAAGTGCCTTAAGATGCTACGTGTTCTCGACTTTGTTACATGGAATGGAAAGCTAGACACTAAAAAGAGACAATATAAAGAAGTTGGAAACATTATTTGAGATGTGGTGCTATAGAGGGATTTTGAAAATACCTGGATCTAACGAGTTACAAATGCAAAAGTGTTAAGGTTACAATGTTACAAAAGGATTGCGAGGTGATAAAGAATATCAACACAAGAAAGCTGGAATATTTAGGTCACATTACCGAACTTGCGAAATATGAGATATTTCCAACATATAAATAGTTGAGGGCCATCTGCCTAGGAACAATAGGTAAAAGCTGATAAACAGACAGGATTAGAAAGTAACAAACAAAAGATATAGGTAGAACAAAAGATGTTTAATAAGTGATGCCAAGAAAAAAACGGTAGACCCTATAAAGTGAATGAAATGGGCACTGAAGAATTTTTTACTTTAAGGATCTTTCAAAAATTTTAGGGCAAAAATTCACCAAAAATTCTGATAACGAGAAGGTAGTATGGAATAATATACAAATTCTTAAAGTAGAAAAGTGTTTTCCTACAAAAGTTTTTTACAAAACTAACTTTGACGATACAACCTATAAAACTATTGACCTTTCTACTCGTCGTTTTCTGAACACGAAAAGCCTCCTACTGCAGGAGAAAAACAAAAGAGCATTTACTGGAATTACTTATACAAAAAAATCTTATTGCAAAAGTACATCAATCATTTTATTTCAATTTGTTGAGTTAATTTCTTGTAAGTGATTTATAATATACAATATATAATTATTAAATTTATCTAATAAAGTACCTACCATTTATAACTTTGTCTGGTTTTTCATTGTTAATGTGTATAATCGTAGAGCAGTTATGGATATTGAGTAATTTAAAAATGTAATGCAATACCGCCATATCTTACAAATATTTATAACGGTTAAATATTTCTTGTTTTTAAAAAAACATATCCATTCGTATGCTATTGAATTACTAATATTCTAATATTCAGTTACTTCTCTTAAAATATCTATTCTGTAGAGGAAAAAAACCCGTCACTCATATTTTCATTTGCCTCTCCTGTTAAATTTATAAATTTGCAGTTGTAGCGGTATTGAATTGGATGTGCGACTTGTCACAGATAATACACCTATAGGGTAAGTTCGGCCCTGACACTACTCCTACCTCCTCGCAAGTCAGAGACAGAATGAGAAATCTCGATACGGTTTTCGAGTAACGCCATCTAGTTGTTGATACGTCTTTCGGTTACCACGAGGTGAGCTATCTAGTGGGTGGTTTATAATCAATGACTGTACGTAAATTACACTGGTTAAAAATGAGTTGTGTCGTGAAACAACACGAATAATAAAACACCTATACAGGATAAAATCGGGGAATGTCAGCTGTGAGTCGCATAAAAATTTTATTATGCAAAGTGATATGGATGTAAGTAGTTCAGAAAATATAGAGTTAAGTAAGAAAAGAAAATCATTTGTTCAAATGACGGATGTGAGTAAAAAAACTTATATTGCAAAGCCATGTTCCAGGGTCTGACTGTCACTGTAAAAGATTACAATGTTTTCAAAACGTTTCTGACGGCTGTAGGAACAGTAGTTTGAGGCAATTTAATTTAATGTGTTCTCTTGATGAGCATAACTCATTATTATGTGGTCTAAAATTACATAAATCGTCAATATCACAAAATAAAAGAGAATAAAAATACAATCCAATGCAATTGCAGAAGAACTAAATTGCAAATTGCATAATAAAACTTTACGAACTAGTTTACAAATAAGTTTAAGTTGCTGCATGTGATACCCAAATATATATAAAAATACTTTAGTTGCTTGTACCTAAACGTACTGTAATTTCTTAGTTATTCGTTAAGAAACTCTTCCACTGAATAATATGGTCTTTCAGATAGATAGGCTTTTGTCAATTTACGGAACTTAAGGAAAGAAGTTGTAGATTTAAGTTGCAAAGGGAGATGGTTGTATAATTTTTTTGCTGAATATAATATAGATTTCTTTACTAACTCAGTGACGGGATCGGTAAATACATATCAAAGGTTGAATTTCTGGTGGAGTAGTCATGACTAGGTCTTGCTGGAAAAACATGTAGGTGTTTACGAATTAAGCAAACAGTTTCTAGAATATATAAAGAGGGAAGAGTTAAAATCCCGTGATTTTTGAAGTAGCTTCTGCAATGTGTTATTCTACTGAGGCCAAAAAGATACCGTATTGCTCTTTTTTGTAATTTAAAAATAACATCAGATTGGGCAGCTGTACTAGAACCCCAAAAAGGAAGGCCATATCGAAGATGAGACTCGAACAAAGAAAAATATGTTATTTTGGAGGATGCTAAATTGATTTCCTTCGAAACAGATCTTATTGCATAGCAGGCTGAGGCTAGTTTCTTACTTAACAAATCGATATGAAGGAACCATTTAAGGTTGCTGTCTATAAAAATACCAAGAAATTTTACAGAATCAACGATACTGATCTGGCTATTATTAAGAAGCAAGGGTTGAAGAGCTCCTTTATAGGATAATGCTACTGTCTTATCCACGTTAAAAGAGAGTAAATTAGAGTCGGACCAGGTTTTTATTTTAAGTAGATCAGAAGTTATAATTGCATGAAGAGTTGCAATATTGGAGTTCCTCCAGGTAATACTGGTAACACCAGCAAAAAGAAAAAAAATTCCATCGATTTTTAAATTAGTGATGTCATTTATAAAGATAAGGAAGAGTAAGGACCCTATACTAAACCTTGTGGTACTCCACATACAATGTTTTTGTGACTAGAATCAGCATCATTTGCTTTAACTAGTTGTTTCCTATTCCTCAAGTAAGATTGGAACCAATTCAAATAAATACTGATTATATTAAAAAACTGATTAGTTTACTTATCAAAATGTCGTGATTTACACAATCAAAAGCTTTGGCATAGTCACAAAAAACAGTGGCAGTGTAAAGATTATTGTTTAGTGCTTGATAAACCTCATGTAGTACAGAATACATCGCTGGTACATTTATTAGATACAAAGCCGAACTGACTTTGTGATAAAATGTTGTTTTCAACGGGA